GAGCATTTTTCTAGTTAGTTGCTATCAAGCTGGCTCCCACTCTGAGACCATATGTGTAACAGAAATATGTGTTGCCTGGTCCTGCCCCACTTTCACCAATTGTTTGAACACATTGTTGGACACAGCTGTGTTAATCCATCTCATTAAAGGTCTTCCCTCTGTTTTGTGGACTCTATACCAGGGGTTCTCAACCTGTGGGTTGTGACCCCTTTGGGGGGGAGAGGTGTGTCAAATGACCTTTTCACAGTGGTCGCCTAAGACCATCAGAAAACACATATTCCCGATGGTCTCAGGAACCGAGACACTGCTCCTCTATCCGCTCTAGGCAGGTCCGCCAGCCCACATGCAGATACACGCACACAAGAATACACCACGTAAAGACTGTTACCCATGCTACACCATGCTTCAAGACATTTGTCATTAGAAATAAATATTTCACAATATATAATTACACATTGTTTTTGTGATTAATCACTATGCTTTAATTACGTTCAATTTGTAACAACGAAAATACATCCTGCAAATCAGATATTTACATTATGATTCATAACAGTAAGCAAAATGACAGTGATGAAGTAGCAACGAAAATAATGTTATGGTTGGGGGGTCACTACAACATGAGGAACTGTGTTAAAGGGTCGAGTCATTAGAAAGGTTGAGAACCACTGGCCAAGCATGAAGTCTCTCCAGTGATTTGTTCACTGCATAGTCAGCATCCTTCCATCGTAACATTGCATTCAAATGCATCGATTATTTTTTGGGGTCTAAACTAGTGATTGACCTTTTGTCATCTTCAAGACCATTGGTATGCTCCCCCACTGGGTATTTTGAATGTCTTCCAACTTTGGGGCTCATCTTCCAGCATTGTATTAGACAATATTCTGTTGTGCTTTTTAAGATTTTCATTGTCTTGTTTTCTGAAGTAGACCACCAGGCCTGTCCTCCTTTCGTCTTAGCTTGGCTCAATGCCATCACGTCAATGCTGACTCATAGCGACCCCCTGTGGGTTTTCAAGACCATAACTGTGTACAGTAGAAAGCCCATTATCTCTCCCTCGGAGCTGCTGTGGTCTTGTTCTCAAACCATGGGGAGAGCAACCCAATGCTTAACCACTAAACCACCAGGGCTCCCTCCATGTCTTACCTTGAAGTTCTGCTGAAGCCCCTCCACCACGGTGACCCAGTTGATATTTGAAATCCCAATGGCATAGCTTCCACAGCATCATAACACGTAGGACGACACACTATGACAAACTGACCGACTGGTGGCAGATCTAGTTTTTAAAAATACTGTTGCCTTCAAGTCAATTCTGGCCAAAGAGATCTTATAAGACGGAGTAGAGCTACTCCCTGTGGGGCTTCCAAGGTATAATCTTTATAGAAGCAGACTGCCACAAATTTCTCCCAAGGAGCAAATGGTGGACTCAAACCACTGGTCTTTCAGTTGGCAGTCAAGCACTTAACGATTGAGCCCTGTTGCTCTAGAGGTTCACGTCATCTACATAAGCAAGTAGAATTCTCCTCTAGCGGTCAGGAGTCAGTCAGAGGTGGGAGGAAAGCTGTCTGTGCCAGCAGCTAGTGATGTAGGAACATAAAACACCAGGAATGAGGCTCAAGGTGCCAACAAGGGCAGGTGATGATGCCATCAAGGCAGCGGGAACCACTGGATGGTTTTAAGTAGGATAATGGCCAATGGTCAGATGATATGGTTTGGACCAAGATAGGAAAGAAGCCATATTCCAGAATATTTATGGGTGAAATGTATAGGAATTGGCAATTGGCTAAATGAACAAAGAAGGGCCAGTAAAGAAAACCCTTGAGAAAGAAAAGAAACTTAACTTGGGGAAGTTATCACTTCCCAGTAAGGGAATTTGAGGTCTTAAGTTGATGTTAAATTATCACCTATGTGTGGGCTGGGATGGATTTGAGACTCACTGAAAGACTTTCTGTCCAGGGAGAACAAGATTGTTCCTCCTGCTATTCAACTCCCAGCAGGACCGTAGCAGGGTGTCCCCAGTAAAGCGTCCCTCCAGGTGTTGGTTACTCCTTGCCCAAGATCTGAATTTCTCCCAGTGAGAGCTGAGGGAATTATGTCTTAGGGTCCACTTGTTCTCCACAGGAGTGTTTTGAATTTGTATTTTCATTGTGATCCCGACTAGGAAAGCCATGGCCTATGGCAATAGATTTATTCCACTCAAAAGTTAAGTCTCTAGGAGTTACTAAAGTACCTTGTGACATTTTAAATGCATTTAATCAGTTTTATGTTTGCACATACTTAAGTGATATGACAATAAAAAAGATGCTAGTTAACACTTTGGAGGGAGGCAGGGGCTCATGAAAAGTATTTTCTTTAAAAGCAGTCAGTACATTACTCATCTGAGAAACAGTGTGCAGACAGAATAATTCCAGTATAGTGTGGCCAATGGTCTAAGAGGACAGGTAGGAGGCACGGTGCCGGGGAGGAGGGGTGGTGTCAGAGAACTCTTCCTGAGAAACCACAGATGCTGAACCCCAAACGAGCCACATAAGGAAGAGTCCACAGCTGTGGATGATTGTCCAGAGCTGCCTCGGTTCTCTTTCAAATGCTGAGATGACAGAAATACAGTGGGTGGCTTTGACAAACATATTTATTTAGGAGAGTGAAGTCCAAATCCAGAGCAGAGAAAGCCTTTCCCTACAGGCGGCATCCTGAACTTGGACTTCTAGCCTCGGAAATGGTGAGAAAATGGTTATTTGTTAAAGATATCTACTTGTGGTATTTATGATACAGCAGTACTAGATAAGTAATACAAGAGCCAAGGGAGAAAGCCTGAAAGCCAGGAGTTCAAGGACTCAAAGTCTTGGAGGAACTGACTGAAGAAGCTGGTTAACTCCTAGAGTTTGGACTATCCGGACTCAATCCTGACTGACGACAGTGGCTTTGTGGAGTGCACGATTACAACCAGCTTGGCACTTAGGGAGCTAATACAATGGACTGAAGGAACAAGACTGGATCAGAGAGAGGAGCACAGGAACTTTAACTATGGATCATGCTGGCTCTCAGACGAGCTCAGAACCCTGTCTGGGTCAGAGAGGTGCTCAGAAGCTATAGATGGGGACAATCTTGGCTCTCAGGCTAGCTCAGGACCTTGTCTCGGTCCTGTCTCTCCCCCAGATCTTTCTGCAAACATGTGTGACCAGATCTGCTTCAGCACCTTCACTCTGATATAAAGATACTCCTTGAGGGTAGTAATATGTCTGATCCCTCTGGGGCCTCAACTCTGCCCAGCACAGTGGGAACGCTCTGTGGAATGCCAGAAACTACTAGACACACCTTGGGTCTGCCCAAGACCTTGTGACCTAGGAGAGATGAGGAACCAGAATATGGGAGTAGAAGCACCCACCATATGAGCACTAAACTCTTCTCAATCCCTCTTCTTTACATCGTACAAAAAGTGCCACCAATCACCTCTCCCTGGTTCAGATGAGGATAGGTTTGGAGAGGAGGCAGTGATTGAGCCAAAGTCCAGGTTTCCTCTTGCGAGGAAGATGGGATCAGAGTCAAAGTCTGTAACAATGTGTGACCCTAGAGCCTTTCTTGTAGACAGGCTACAAGTACTTGCTGCCCAGCAAGTCAAGAGACAGGAATTCCCAGGGCCAAATCCACACCACGAGGCTTTCTGAAGGAGGGGTAGAAGTTGGGATTCGAAGTAGTTGGAGCTCTGGAGCTGGGGTAAAGGAATGCACTGTAAACACAGCACTGTAGGGTGGACTGGTAGATTATGAAAGGACAAAGGTGGAAAGAGGCAAGGGGCTTGGGGAGGAGAGGTTTGGCTGGCTCCTGATGAGGGCCTGGGCCTCTGGTGCTGAGAGCCTTCTCTGTACCTCCGGGAGAGGTGAGAGGCAAACTGAAGGTCAGTCTGTATGGTGGCCCAGGGTGTCCACCTCACAGAAAGAAGAAAGAACAAGGATGTCTGAAGAGAAGTTACTTTAATGATTTTTAAGGACTATCTTTTAAGCATATCTGTGTAACCTGGTCTACCAAGAATTTTTACATCTAGTTCAGGGAAGGGAAGACTGGTGTGTGTGTGTGTGTGTGTGTGTGTGTGTGTGTGTGTGTGCGCATGCGAAATCAGGAGTGAAAGTTTACAAAGCAAATTCCACTCAACAACTCATCCACATTTGTTCTGTGACACTAATTGCAATCACCACAAATTATTAATACTCTTCTCGTTTCTTCTCAGTGTTTTTACCATTTAGACCTTCTTTCCAAATACTGGCCTTTAGGAGGTTTACCCCTGGGACAAATGCTGCCCAGGTGACCTCATGGGATTGATTGCTCCCAGGAGTCTATAATACCTTCCGGTTCAGCCTTATAGACTGTGCCTCTTTAGCTGACTGTGGAGCCCCAGGGATGAGTTCTTCTTCCGGCCTGAGGGTCTAGGGCAGTGGTTCTCAAACTTCCGAATGCCGTGACTCTCTAATACAATTCCTCGTGTTGTGGTGACCCCCCAACCATAAAATTGTGTTGCTGCTTCATAACTGTAATTTTGCTGTTATGAATCGGGCCACCCCTGTGGAAGGGTTGTTGGACCCCCCAGGTTGAGAACCGTTGGTCTAGGAGGAAGATTATAAATTCCATTTTACAGATGGAATCAAGAGCACCCTCTCCTGGATGAGATCTCAACTCTTTTACCCACTGCAAGCAAAGCCCCACCCAAACATGGCTCTGGGGTTGGGGCTGAATCCCAGACATTCAAGTATGTCTCCCTTTCCCATGCTCTACCTGCCTTCCACATTAATGTGGGTACCTCAGCATGAGTAACAGTGCCTCCTCTTCAGAATACTAGAGGAGTCTGAAATCTACCTGCCGTGCCCTCATTTCCTGTAGCCTCCCATGGAGGATGGCCGGCTGGCTCTTCTCACTGACCCAAGAAGAAACAAGCCTAGAGAGGGGAGGTGATGGGGCCAGAACTAGAACCCAGGTCCCCTGGCACCTCCTTGACTGGATCCCCCTCTTACCTGCAGCACGGACAGGTTGGTCTGTCCAGAAAGGCTCAGCTTTTCCTGCTCTGAGGGGTAAGCGTTGTAGCGGTGCAAGTACAGCCAGTCCCTGAGGATCTTCACGGACTCCTTGGGCAAGTTCCCCCTCCGCTTCCTCTTGCCCGCCAGGGAGAGGGGGCCCTCGTCTTCACCCAGATCACTGTCTGACATGGTAGAGGTCTCCAGGGGCTAATCTGCGCCTCGAGGAAGCCTGGAACAAATGATACAGGGGTTGGGAACATGAATACCAATCACTGCCTCACACCCTTTTCTAGATCCCCACCTCCCACCGCCCAACACACCTCATTACTAGTGTCTGGGAAGCCAGAAACAGAGGAGTCACAGTTCAGTCTCAGGCCATACCACAGCCTGGGCAGCAGGCTGGAAAGGACAATTCCCAAAGTCCTGAATTTCAAGTAGGAGGAAGTCAATTAGTGGACTGAATGACGGCTCAAGGCTAGAAAGAAATTACAGCTACCCATGAGGTCTACCTTTCAGGTTCCGCATGCACACGCATGCACACGGCACTTTACATTTAGTATCTCATTTAAATACTCACAAAGCCCTTGTGAGGGAACAGGGGCTGTTATTTTACAGAGGTCAGCAACTCCCAGAGAGATTTAAGAAAGTGCCCAAGATCCTACCACCACCGTAAGGCCCAGCAATGTCAGTGCTAGGTATCTGCATGAGTGAAATGAAAACACATCTGCAGAAAACCTCTGCAGCCTCATTTTCAATAGCCAAAAAGAACAATTAAATGTCCATCAATGTGATCTTGTGTTCATAAAAATCAAAAGAACCCCAACCATTCGCTGTTGAGTCGATTAAGACTCAAGATGATCCCATGTGGACATCGCAAACCGTTAACTACTCAATTACTAACCAAAATATTTGTAGTTCCAGTCTGCCCACAGTACCTCAGAAGAAAGGCCCGGCAACCTACTTCCAATAGATCCTAGCCTCTGAAAACCTGTGAGTGAAGTTCTACTCAACACATGAAGGGCTGCCATGATCTCCTCATAACGGATTATTTTGCCATAAAAAGGAACGGAGTTATATTTTAAGCCCCACCCCCCAGGAAAAAAAACGTGAATCTTGAAAGTATTATGCTAAATGAAAGACGTCAGTCACAAAAGACCATTATTACATATTCCCATCCGCATGAAATGTCCAGGATAGGAAAATCTGTAATAGGAAGCAAAAAAGGATAATGTCAGGGCAGAATCGCTAAAGATACGGGGTTTCTTTTTAAGAAAAATGCTCTAAAATCAACTGATGAACTTGTCTGAAAACATACTAAAGACCATGGAATTGTGTACTTTGGATAAATTATATAGTATATAAATTATATCTCAATAAAACCATCATTTAAAGAGAAAGAAAAAAAATCTACCACCAGGCAGTAAAATCCTGTTATGCCCTCAGCGCCGAGGATCTGACTACCAGTTTGCCTTCCAGGTCTCTTAACCTGGAAACTCTATAGACCATCCTGCCCGGCAGCCACCCAAGCAACATTTACTGAGCACCTACTGTGTACCCACCAGAGAGTAATCCCATTTAGTGTCTCCCATTCTCCTTTGTCACTTAGTCCCAGCTCCACCGTCACTCCATTCCACTCACCCTGGGCAAGTTGTCTCCCTTCTCTGTCTGGGCTTAGCCCCCACCCCCATCCCTTTTCACATGTCACATAAAGAAAGCTAGACAACCCAGCTCAGCTGCTCATTCCTGTCCACACATGCAAAATATATTTACATTTTAAAAGCAAAAGTTCTAGGCCAAACTGATGCCAGAATCTCCAGGCTCCTCCCTCTTCACTCAGCCTTTTAACAGCCCCCCCCAGACTCTGGCATCTCCTAGGTTTTGTTTCCTGGACTTGGGCTAGAGCCCAGATCTCTGGGCCGGCTGGCCAGGCTTTCGAGGGAAGGGTCTACTCTCCCAATCAGGCCACCTGGAGGTGAGATGGGCCCTAGTTCTAGGTGCCACTCCTCAGTAAGCATAGCAGGCTCTTTTCCAAGGGCAGACGTTTCTAGGTGGCTAGGACGGCCCTAGGATGCGGCCCTGGTAAGCTGTGAGTTTACTCTAGGTTATCTGTACAAATTCCACTCTGGCTGCCAGCCAAGTCGCAGTCTGCAGGATTCCTGCGGCAGCCCGTGGGGATGGCCCCAGTCTACACAAACGCTGCACCCCGGTCAGCCTACAGCCCAGTCAGGTCCCTGCATAGATACCCCCAACTTGCACTTAGCTACACACACAGCTTCTGCAAACGAAACAAACAGCACTCAAGAGAACGTGCACCAACCCACCATGCAAACATTGCAACTCCCATGATCCTTACCGACACACACAGCACACCCAGCCTGCACACCCCCTGTCTCTCTCCACAACTGTGATCCACGCAGCCAGCACAATGCCTGGAAATCTGCCCACCCATGAACTCCAACCGACCTGCCCACCCACGAGCTCTCTGGACAGGGCGAACCCAGACGTCATCACACCAGCGGTCGGTTCTTTGCCTCGCTGGCCTGCGGCAGCACTTTCTCTGCACAACACCCCACACACACTCCCACGGCGCCGGC